TGAGACCAGGGCTCATTGGCTTTTCTATAAAGCCTCCCACCCTATGGGAGCACCAGGATTTTCCCCTCCTGCCTAATTTCTTATTTTGCTCTAATCTCAGCCCACACAAGTAAAACTCTTTGGATTTATCTAAAGCTGCCTAGTAGTGATTTCTTGTGTCTCACCAGTTCTTGTCCTATGCCTTGCCCACATACCTGCATGGGCCTTTGTGGTTACTGTGTGTGAACCAAGGACTGGCCTAAGGTGAGACGTGAGACACGGAAGTGGTTCCCCTGATTCTTGTTGGTACTGGGGATCGAACTCAGGACCTTATGCTTGAGAGGCAGGCAGTGGTACCACTAAACTAAATCCCTGGCTCTCTCTGATTCTTTTTGTTTTGTTTTAAGAGTAGGAAAATTTATTGAGAGAAAGAAAGCTTCTGTCTAAGAAAGACAGAAAGCGGACTGGAAAGTGGGTTGCTCACCCACTCTGCTTATCAAAGGTGTTTTATACAGCAAAACCATGAGGTGAGGTGGGTACAAAGTGGTACAAAACTATAAGACCCAGTGGAAAATTACAAGGTGGACATGAGGTAGAATTAAACCATGACCGATAGAACCACCTTGAGTCTGCAAAATAAGAACCCTACAATATTTGTAGACTCCTACAAAACAGTAAAGCAATTCACAGCCTCATGAGTGTGTAGATTTTAGTTGCCAGGACCTCTTCTTACTTCCAAACAGATGAGTAACTATAGTCTCACTGGGATTTCTCACTTCATGCAATAAACAAATAATATTATTTTAAGTGTTTGTTGTGATAAGGAAATAATGCACAACAGGGCAGACCTTGGCTTTACCCTCCCTCATGTTTCAGCCATAAAATGTTATGTTCAAATGTAACTGTTTATGCTCCAAGATGTTCCTGTCCAATGTATGAGACTATTCTGCTCAAATAATGTAACTGTTTGTATGTGCTGCTCTGAGGTTTCAAGAATGTTCTGTTAATTCTATTCCAAGGGGTTTCCTCTTCTTGTTGTGTCTTTGCCCTAAAAGGTTTTTCTCGACTTTCTTTGCCCAACTGTACATAAATTCACTCTCGTTACAGCTTAGGGCCCAAAATTCAGAGTGCTCTGGCTCAGCCAGCTAATAAAGTTTGGTTTTTCTCCACCTCTTCAAGTGACTTTCTGATTCTCGTGTCTTCAAATTTCTGTAGCTGTAACAGAGCTGTAACACTTGGCTGTAATGCTGAGCTGTCTCACTTTCTCACAATAATTGTACAGTAGGTGAAGAAGATTCTAAAATAAATAAAAAACATCAGATCTGCAATTAAATCTCCTGTTCAGTAGGAGAAAAAGAGGCATATGAATTATTTACAGAAACTCCAAAAGTCCCATAAAAATTGCTACAAATTAGAAAGGGGAATAATTTAAGTAGACTATAGTGAAACTATCAAAATAGATTAACAAATGCTTGGCTACAGATATGTTAACATGTGCTGGATTCTTTCTTTCTCTTTTTTTTCTCTCTCTCTCTCTCCTTCCTTCCTTCCTTCCTTTCTTTCTTTCTATCTTTCTTTTTCTTTCTTTCTATACTGGGGACTGAACCCAGGGCCTTGTACATGCTATGCAAGTGGTCTACACTGAGATACATCCCTATCCGCATGCAGGATCTTGAAGGATGCATTGAATTTGTGGAAAGTGGAGAGGGAGAGATAAAGCACTCTGGCAGAAGACACGCATCTGAGCAAAGGCTTGGATACATGCCCAGGGAATTACCAACTCCGGCATATACTGGAATAATTTTTACCATTCTTATAACATTTCTGTAAATGTTCTATGTGAAAATATTCCTAAATTAAAATACTACAAAAATAAAATAAATCTAGAGCTGATCTACTTCCACACATATTGTTTTGGCTGTGATTCAAGTCATATCCTCTCTTCTATAACAAATTCATGAATTCTCCTTTCTTCTATTTCTGTGTCTCCTATTTCTAATTACAGAACCAGGGATATCTTCAAAAGGTAAGGTAAGTCAGAAGATATCATTCTTCTTAATCCAGTCATCAAAAGGCTTCTCATCTCACTGAGTCCAATTAACACAACTCTATGGGATGTAAGTCCTTCTCCTCAATCTGTATATCTTTGATCTTCCCTCCTGCAATTTTGCCTTTCCATTAATATATGTTAACAGATCATGATGCTTCTTGCTTTCTCACAAAAATCACTGGCATGCTCTGACCTCAGGGACTTTGCACATGAAGTTCCCCCTCTTAAAATTCTGTTATTCAGACACTCTTACCCGGCATACTTCATTCTCCTTTTCAACTTTACTATCCCTATAGCATGTATTAATGAGATACTGTATGATTTACTTGTTTGTTTGCTCTATTATTTCCTCCATGAGAATGTGAGTAATTTGAGGATAAGAAATCTGTTTTGTTCCAATTCTTTCCACCAACATCTGGAATAGCTGTTTATCTATAAATAATTGTTGAATGAATTAAACCACACAATCTGTAAGTTTCCATACAGCATAAAAACATCAGATAACCTATAAAAGAATTAGAAACAATCATCATCAGAGTTTTGACACAGTGAACATTGGAAAAAATCTGAATAGTTTTAAAGTCATATTTTGAATTTGTAATTCTGCTTTAAGCCAAATTAGCAGTTAAAAGAGTAAAAAGGAAAGGAATGGTCAGAATGTTTGCCTTTCAGATCCTCTCCTGATTTCTAGTGTATTTCCTAAAAAAATGGAAAAGGAACTTCAAAAGAGGATATACGGCTATATGGCATGGCAAAAATAAGAGTGAGCCAAAATAATTGAAAACACACAATTAAAAAACATGAATGACCACACAAAACTAAAATATCGCATTGTCCACATGGCAAGAGTGCAGAAAATAAAACTCACATGCAAATTTTTAATTTTATGAAGGAAGGCATACATTACTATTTGACTGTAGAGAAACCACAAAGTATAAGTTTGAACACTTCATGAGAATTTAAGGGCAATTTCTTAGTGACCAGAAGCTGGATATATGACTCACACATTATGCAAAGAAGGAAGGCACATTACTATTTGACTGTAGAGAAACCACAAAGTATAAGTTTGAACACTTCATGAGAATTTAAGGGCAATTTCTTAGTGACCAGAAGCTGGATATATGACTCACACATTATGCAAATGAAAACTGAAACACATCAAAGTCAATTAATCCAATCAAAGGAAGAAAAAAATCAACAAGCAAGCATGGCAAGGAGACAAATTTAAAAGAGTCAATCAGTATATCTGAAATCATGCTCATTATAAATGATTTATAATTTGTTCCTTGTTAAATTGATCAAAAAGAGAAATTATGTTTACAGCTTAATGGGTATGTTAAAAGCCAATTGAATTCTACATTTGAGAAGAACGAATTTTATAGTTGGTGAATCATCTCAGTAAAGCGATTATTTAGAGAGATAGAGACAAAGACAGAGAGAAAATCTTTAATGAAATTGAAAGGGAAGGAGTATTACTGAAATCATTGCTGGAAGCTGCCATTTACTTTGACTCCAAAACCAAACAAGAATCTGAATGACAAAGAAAACTACTGGTCAATCTCTTTAATGAATATAGATTCAAAAATTCTCAACAAGTCACTGGCAAAAGAATGCAATAAATTATCAAAAAAAAAATATATATATATATCACGACCAAGTAGGCTTGCTTCATCCAGGAATGCAAGTATGGTTCAACATATGCAAAGCAAAAATGCAATATATCACATAAACAGAAGCAAAGATAAAAATCACATTATTATCTCAATAGACAATGAAATAAACACCCTTTGACAAAATCCAGCATCCATTCATGATTAAAACTCTGAAGAAAATAGATACAGAAAGACCTTATCTCAATCTGATAAAAGCCATTTATGACAAACCTACTGCCAATCTCATATTAAATGGTGAAAAATTGACAGTTTCCCTCTAAAATCAGGAATGAGACAAAGACACTCACTATCCCAACTCCTGTTTAATACAGTACTCAAAACATTAACCAGAGTGATCAGGCAACAGAAAGAAATAAAATGGATATGTATAGGAAAGGAAGAAGTCATATTATCATTATTTGTGGATGACACTATCCTCTACATATAAGACCAAAAATTCCACCTAAAGATTTGTAGAACTAGTAATCACATTCAGCAAAGTAGCAGGATGTGATATCAACACAAAAATCAATAGCGTTCTGTACACTTATAATGAACTCACAGAGAAAGAAAGTAAGAAAAAAAATACCATTCATAATCATCAAGAAAAATGAAATAGTTAAGAATTAACCTAACCAAGGAAGTGAAAGATCTTTACAACAAAAACTACAGTACTTCAGTAAAGGAGTGCAAAAGACAACTGAAAATGGAAAGCTATCCTTGTTCTTGGACAGACAGAACCAATATAATCAAAACAGCTATACTTCCAAAACTGATATACAGATTTAAGCCAATCCCAATCAAAATAAAAACAACATTTCTCACAGAACTAGAGAAACAATCATAAAATTCATAAAATTCATAAAATTCAAATGAGAAAAGATCTAGTATAGCAAAAGCTATCCTGGGTAACAAAAGCAAAGTGAGAGGGATAACAATTATGAATTTGAAATTATATTACAAAGCTACAGTGATAAAAATGGCATGGTAGCAGCACAAAAACAGACATGTGAATCAATGGAAATGACTCCAGGCACATTCAGCTATTTGATTTTTGACACAGGGAAAAAAAAACTGAAAGGAAAGATAGCCATTTTAATAAATGATGCTTAGAAAACTGGCCATCCACATGCAGAAGATTAAATCCAGATCCACATATTTCACCATGAATCCCCTCCAAAAAAAACACAAAAGTGTCTAAGAATATCCAGAGCATCCGTATAAGCAAAAATTTAACTTTAAAGAAATCTGTTTCGAAGAATTATGTACCAACGCGGCATATTAAATCCGCCTTTTTCCATATCGATGCTGTCTCTCACCCGCATCCTTATCTTCCGCTGCGTATCCTGTTGCAGAAGTTTGAAAGGAAAGGAATCTCCTGGATCTTCAATTGCCATGTTTAAAAAAAAAAAAAAAAAAGCTCGCTTAGCTGGAAATAAAGTTAGCCCTGCGGTATTACTGATCAAAACTTCTATGGCAACCAAAGGACACCGTGCTGGTTTGAGCAACCATTTATCCTGTCACTCAGGGAGTGAAGCAGGCCGCTGACTTTGAAGCTGGTGATGATAAATGTTCTGCTCACCCAGGAGGAAACGCAAGCTGAAGTCGAGGCTTCATGCAATCGAAACTCAGGCTTTATACTGGGCGAGAGCCACACCGCCCTGGGAGGCACGTCGAACACCTGTCTTACCAGCTGCCCTTACAGAAGAAGGAACCCTTTGTGATGAGTTCTTCCCATCCCCAGGGAGAGTTCTGCACCAGTCCTTGGGTGGGGAGGTACTAGGATGTGTAGTGAATTCTGATCTTCACCCTACTGAAAGTCTTGCTTCTAAGAAATTTTTTGTCCCAGGATTTTGCTTTGTTCTTGGGAAAGTTTGGGGCTTGCGGGGGCGGAGTGTCCTGGAAAGCCTGAGTACAATGTGCTGCCATGGCTGCCTCTCCACCTCACTACCCCACCTGCTCTACTTTATTCCCGACTCCAAGATACCGAGACGTGGTATGCGAGATAAGCATATTTGTATGAATTATCTGTGGGAAGACAGTGTCAGGCCGACAACCCGTGGTATGGTAGTCCTCCCTGCTCCGCGGCTTCACTTGCCCTGGTTCCATGTTGAGGACAACTATTGAATGGAAACACCCCATTCATAAATTCTCAGATCTGTGCCACACTGAACAATGTGATGAAATCTCATGCCATCCCTCGGGGTCCTTCCGCGGGGATATGAATCATCCCTTTGCCCATCTGTGTCCATGCTGTATACAATATCCACTCCTTAGTTACTTACTGGGCAGCTTTCTGCGTTGCAAATTAATCGTCACTGTATTATGGTGCTTATGTTCCAGTCACATTTATTTAGCTTAGTAAAGGCTCCTAAGGACAAGCGCAGGAATGTTTGCAATTGAGATATGCCAAAGAGAAACCACACAGTGCCCCCTTTAAGTGAAGAGGTGACTTAATAAGGATAGAAAGGTCTTATGCCAAAGTTGAGGTTGCTATGATCTAAGATTTAAATAAAATCAACTTCTGTCCCTGAAGCTGTAAAGAATAATAAAAAAAAAGTTGGTTAGTTTTGTTATCGCATCTGCAGAAGTTATGGCCACAGTGAGCACTGAAAGTTTGTTAGGATGGGGAAGAGCATTAAATGACAGGGTTTGGAACTTCAATACCTCAGGTTTCAGCCACCCAGGAAGGGGTCTTGGAATGTTTCCCCTAAGAACAGGAGGAACCACTGAATTTAGCAATGCTGGCTAGTTGCATCCTTACTTCGAGGTTTCCTTAGGACCCATGAGGCACCGAAGCATAATAAGGCAAGGATGGGAAAGCACTCAAGTAGGCTGTTTCTCGTGTAATCATTTCATGCAATTCACCCACAGTGGGCTCCATCCACGAGGCGATACAATGGAGTTTCTTTCCTCCCCACTGGACTCTTTTGTATGTTTAGCTCACCAACTGCTTGCCTGCTTTATTTCTTCCTAGTAACTACCAGCATTTTATTTCCTTGTCTGGATTTCTAAAAATCTTATTAGAATAGGAGACAGCTAAACAAAAGACATTAAGGGAAAATTAGATGAGCAGAATCTTTTACTCTTTAATATTTTAGTATATTTCCTAATAGTATCTTTCTATGCACTTGCATGAGCTGGATGGTAATAACCACAGTGTACCTCAATTTTCAAGACGTATTTTTTACTGGCAATATATCAAAGAACTGGGGTCTGTGTGTCTTCAGTTTTAAATGACTGCATAATGTCAAGTAGCTGCGTCTGAATTTAACCAACTTATCTGTGATGGTACATTTCTGACTTACTCTTATTATAAATAATTTTGACAAATGCTTTTGTGAAGTAAGTATTTTATGTATTTTGAATGGTTTCCAGAAAGTGATATCTTAGAAGAGTGGTCATGCAGTGTGGTAATATTTATGGATATAGATTTAGATGCCAAATTGATTTACATTCAAAGATACAAAATGTTCCTTAAAAGTTCATTCCTGCCCTCTAATTTAAGCTATTCCTATTACGTATTTTTTAAATATTTTATCCAGATGATTGCAATCAGCCAGCAATCTTTCCTTGCAGTGATTATAGGCAAAATTCTGAAATTAGCAAGAAAAAGGATAGCAGGGGGAAAATACTATCCTCAAGTAACTCATTACTCCTGAAGACTTACCCTCAACTCTAAGCCCTCAATGTGCCAAGCCCACAGTTCAAGAATTCCCCAGAAGTTCTGCGGTATCTCCTGCCCACACAACGGTTCCCCTTTACATCCAAACAGAGCCCTGGAGAAATCATTGAGTTCTGTCTTAGAGACTAAGACCAAGAAATCCAGGTTTCATGCCAGCAGAAAATCTGGGGAGAATCAGGAATGGAAAATAATTTTGGAAAATGTTGAGCCCCTTTCTCAAGGGAAAGATGGCATTTTCATTCAGAAAATTAACCCACATCCATGGTTGAAAAGCAACAGACTCCCAAAAAGAACTTGATATAGAAGCAGCCAGGCCAGGCGGCTGAGACTTCGTGCTCATTCCTGGCTCAAGCGGGGCACCTCTGGTTTGTGATTTCTGTTCAGCAATGGTTATGTCTGTTGTAGCATATCTGATTGGTCACTAGGATGGCCAGTCCTGAGAAGTTCCTCTCTTCCTGAAACTATGAAGAAAATTACACATATGTTACTTATAATCCCACCCAAGGGTGTAGAATGTGAGTGTCTTTATCTCAAATGTTACATGAAGAAATTGAGGCTCAGGGAAGTTAAGCAACTCTTCTAGATTTTTCTCAGCTACCAATGGCAGCACTGCTATGAGACCCACACTATGTTTAATTCTAAAGCCCAATTGTTCTGCACTACGTCACAGGGCCACAGCACTTCAGAAACCCCCTCTGGGAGGCAAAAAGATAACTATTCCTTCCCTGCTTCATCCTTACCTCCTTCTGAGCTGAGGATTTTCCCTTAGATAAATGGTCCTTGGTTTTGCAGTGCACTCTTGATGTCTCTACAATCAGGCTATTTAAAGGCAATTAATTCGAATACTAGCAGGAGAGTTGGAGAAGTAATTAAAATGGGGCCACTCAATATTGTCTAAAGCCAATAAATGTTTGAAAAGCAGTTCGTCAGACTGCAATGTAAGATGAAAACAAAACTACATTTAAAACTTAATTACTAAAATCTAATTTGTTCTGGAGAGAATTCTGAGCCCTTTCTTGGTTTATTTTTACTTTTTGAACTCAAGTTCTTACCTGCCCCTGTTTGAGACTGGAAATCACATCAAGAGATCATTATAGTAGTATGAGATCCAGGTTCCACCTCAGAGTGGCTGGAAGAATTACCAACCATCAAGGCTGGATAAAGCAAGAAGCGCCACTGGCTCCTAAACACTTAACCTGTTAAGCCCTAGATGTCCAGCTCTGACGAGAGCCATATCTAGCTGTTGAAGGGCACCAGAAGCTGATATCTGCAATGTCTGCCATCCCGTACCCAAGCCATCACCAGATGAGTGGCCAGATGTGGCCTTATTCTGGAAATGCCAAGCACAAGTCATGCCGTGCCTTTCCTGTACTAGTCTTCTGCACAGCACCTTCTTCATCTCAAGCCTCTAGAAACCTACCCACCTATTCTCACTCCACACTTGGTCCTCTTCCTTCATGGCTCCAGTGGTAATTTAGAGCTTCCTCCCTGACCAAAGACCAGTCCTTCAAAGACCGGCTGCCAGCCAGACCCTGATACTCTCTGGATCCCTCTGTAATTCCTGCTGGACCTGTTTTCCTTTGTTCTTCTTTATTGATAGCTCTAATAGAATGCCTGTGAAAATTCAGGCTCTACCTTGCACTGTAATTTTCTCACCTCTTTCCTCCACATGCTTATCCCCTGCCCTATACCACAGAAGTTGGAGTAATTTCCCGTAAAAATCTTGGGAGGGGGAGATGATTCTGTCACTAATTTCCTCAGTCTCCACTGAATTCTTATGCCCTTTTCTGATTTGCTTTTCAGCTGACTCTGAGATACACGTATTAAACATGGGCAAGGTGAACTCTAAAATTAGAAAATTTGGTCTCTCCTTACAACAGTGACTCATGACTCCCAGATGTTGCAGCAGAGGCAGAATCCATACTTTCGGAAAAAAGGAGCTAAGTTTCTAGGACATTAGGCTCTTCATGAAAAAAGGCAAGGACCCTTTTGCCCATCTTAAACACAGGATGAGAACCATGTTCAACATCATGTATCATCAAAGCTGGATAGAGCAAGAAGCAGCACAGAAACAACCCAAAGATGGGCTTGAAAACTTCACAGATTTTTGTGCTGAAAACTGATCACTGAATCTAAAATTGAGAGGAAATGGCCAATCCTGAGATTCTGTGACTTGACAAAAATGTAGATTTTTCAGTCCTGTCTTACTCCATCTTTTATCTAACACCGACTTCCACATTAGACTCAACAGCAGAACTACACTGTGATCATGTTCCCATGATCCCTGCCATGAAGCAGCCAGGGATATTTCTTCCTGGACCCCAACTCTGATTCTGGGTTTCAGAACCCCCAGGTCTGTGTGGACTTTTTAAGAGCCAGTTACTTTATTTTTTTCATTAAGTTTATTGGTATTTTTTAGGTATACAGTAGAGTTACATTCATCATTGGGACCTTGTACCCTTACATGATGTATCTTGGTTCTTATTTTCCCCCATTCCCTTGCCCTCCCTTCACCCCCTCCACCCTTCCCTATTTACAAACACTTTGTTTCAGTTTTTTCCTTTTCTCATATTTTTTCTTTTCATTTCTTTCTCCTACCCTTTCCAATTCCCTTATTCCTTCAGACCTTTTCTTCCTATTTCACATTATCAATTATACAACTTGAACCATATTTACACTTTTAATTTTTCACACCAGAG